TACCGAGAATTACCAAGCCACTGAGGACCGGAGCAACCCAGTGTTAACCAGGTAGTAGCCAGCCTGGTCCGACCGTGTCCTGTTAATTAGGAGGAGGAATGGTTGCTTCAGACCACCTCATTTTCCCTCCCCGTATCTGCCTGCATGGAGTCTTGGCTGCTGCTGCCTTATCCTGAGACAGGGCCAGGCCCTGCCTGGCTGGGTGCCCCCAACCACTGCCAGGAGAGGAGGCTGCAAAAGGGCTTCTCCTTCTCCCAGCACACTGCTGCCAGCCCTGGGAGCAGCAGCCTTAACACAGAAAAGCAAGAAGAAAAACACAGAGTTGCTTGCCAGTGTTAAAATTAGCATGGTGACATAATTGCTGTAACTCTTTGATTCTGTTGTGTATTAGATCCACAAGTAATTCTGCATTGACTTGTCACTGCAGATCACCTGTGGATATTTTGTATTTAGCTAACTGAGGTTAAAATGCAATGGGAAACTGATGTAAAGTAAAAACTGATGTAAATGGCCTGATTGAGGATCTAACTAATGAACTATATGGAAGCTTTTCTGGAATTACAAAAAGATTTTCTTGGTGGATGCAGATCGGAACCCTAACTATGGTAACTGTACCAGCATCAGCAACCTCTTACTAAATATACTCTGACCAAGAAAGCTTTCCCTTTGTCTCCAAAATACTTGATGGGAAATACCTTTTATATTTACTACTGTGTCAAAATATGCGTATTTTTCTTTAGGAGGTACTGTTATATTCTGGCTACACATTTCTGTGTTGGTAATGAAGCAGTTGTGAATTTTTCTTCAGTAAATTTTGTGTTTTAAACTGTTACTGGAATTTTGATGTTGTTTAAATTGGAGTGAACTTTCCCAATTCCTGTGAAGAGACTTTTAGTTCCAACAAAAATTAACTGAGGAAGAAGGTCACTTCTTTTTTCACAGCAGTTTACTCTTTGCTAGTTCCATGCTTTGGAGAAGCAAATGTACTTTTATAAATATTACTGATTTCGAGATGAATGTGAAGAATAGGAAGATTCTCTAATCATGCTTGATTTCTTTTTTGTTTTTCCTTCATTCGAAAGGAGTACAAGTTGTTTTTTTTTTTTTTTTCTTTTTTTTCTTTTTTTCCCCCTTTCCATTGAAATACTGTTGTTTATGTGAGCCACTCCCTTCTAGCGAATAGAAGTGGAATTCCTCCATCTCATGTCCTGCCATGGACCACCAGCTGCAAGTGAATTATGGAAATTTTCTTTAACTTCTGGTGACAGAGAATTATCATTTTGGGAGTTGAACAATGTGGTTTGTTTTTTTTTCTGCTTTCCCTAAAAAGGACAAATCAGACCACAAAGCCTACCACGTTTGCTAAATTCAGTCATTTGCATGAACATAACTGCAAAATTAACTTCAGTAGCAGCAAAAGTATTAGGTGTTACTGCTGTACCTATGGATCACTGGCTATCAGTAAAGTGTCATGCTGTTTGCCCCAGATTACATGCAGCATTTGTTTTAACAGTGTTTACCTTTTTTGTAATTTTTGTCAGCATTTGAAAATATAATTATTTAGTGATATTAACTCTTCTATGTTTACAGTTGTTAACAGTTTAGTAATCCTTTAAAAAACTGATATCAAGATAGTGTGTTTTGTTCACAGTTAGGTTTGTGAGCCTAAAAACATACAGTTATGCATGAGAGTAGCATTTGGACTCTAAGACTTTGTATGTTTCTATGTCGGGACCCACAATACGGGAAAGATATGGAGCTGTTAGAGAGGGTCTGGAGGACCCTTTCTAACAATCTAAACAATCTAAAGATGACCAGAGGTCTGGAGCATCTCCCCTACAAAGACAGGCTGAGGAAACTGGGCTTCTTCATCCATTCAGAAGAGAAAGCTGTGAGGAGAAATTATTGCAGCCTTCCAGTATTTAAAAGGGGGTTATAAATAGGGGAGGAATCAACTTTTTACATGGGTAAACAATGATAGAACAGGGGGGAATGGTTTTAAGCTCAAGGAGGGAAGTTTAGATTGGGTATTGAGGGAAGTTTTTCACAGGGAACAGGCTGCCTGGTGAGGCTGTGATTCTCCATCACTGGAGTTGTTCAAGCCCAGGTAGGATGGAGCCCTGGGCAACCTGTTCTAGTACAAAGTCTGGAGGTTGGTTAGTCCTGCCTATGGCAGGGGGTTGGAACTTGACGATCATTGGTGTCCCTTCCCATGCATGCCATTCTGTTATTCTATAATTCTGTGTTGTACTCATGTATTAAAACTAACATGAGACATCCTCTTCCCTAATGCATAAAGAATAGGCAGGGTGAACCTGTTTTCTTGCTCTCCTTCTTGGATCATTTTCATCTCAGATTCCTGCATTTTCCTGAGAACCAGAAATGCAGTTCTTCCTTCTTCTTTAAGCACAGGTCAGGAATGTATGCCTCTTCTCCCTGCTGCACATTTGTCACAGTAAGAGGTATCACAGTTATAATCTGGAAAATAATATGAAGACCAGGATGGAAATTATGAAAGAAATGGAGAGGGAGCTCAACAAACAACCATACCAAACCACAGCATGCAATGTATTCTGAGTCATTCTTAGTATCAGCATTATGAATTGGACAAAAATGATGTGTCTTAAAGTTATGAAAACAATCAAACACTGAGTGTATGCATTTTTCAAACCTTTTAGTACAGTGATATTTTAGTTCAGTCTCTGCATTCTCATTGTGATCTGAGTATGGTCCCCTTTCTGCTATGTTACTCTGTTTTCGTGCTGATTGCTGAACATAGTTTCTTTATATGTATATATACTGAATTAAGGGAGCATCATGCATAAATGTGTACATGAGCATTTGATGGCTCAACATGCTGGATTTTGTGTTGTTTCAGAAGCAGATGTGTTTCCTGTATTCTATTTGATAAACACATAGAATCATAGAGTGGTTTGGGTTGGAAGGGACTTTTAAGATCATCTAGTTTCAGCTCCCTGCTATAGGCAGGAACGCCTCCCTGGCATTGAATGCTTCCAGGGTAGGGGTATCCACAACCTGTTCCTGTACCCCCAGAGTAAAGAATTTCTTCCTAATTTCTAGTCTAAATCTACTCCCTCTTCCAGTTTAAAGCGTTTTCCCCTCATCCTGTTGCAGTCTGCCCTTATTAAAAGTCCTTCCCCAGCTCTCCTGTAGGCTTCTTTCAGGTACCGGAAAGCCACTCTAAGATCCCCTTGGAGCCTTCTCTTCTCCAGACTGAAGAGCCCCAACTCTCTCAACCTGTCTTCATTAGGGAGGTGCTCCAGCCTTCTGATCATCTTTGTGACCCTCCTCTGGACCCCATCCAACAGCTCCATGTCCTTCTTGTGCTGGGGACCCCAGAACTGGATGCAGTACTCCAGGTGGGGTCTCAGGAGAGTGGAGTAGGGTGGCAGAATCACCTTCCTCAACCTGCTGGTCACACTTCTCTTGATTGAACCCTGAATACAGTTGGCCTTGTGGGCTGCAAGCACACATTGCCAGCTCATGCTGAATCTTTCATTAACCGACACTCCCAAATCCTTCTCCTCAGGGCTTCCCTCAAGCCATTCTCTGCCCAGCCTGTATATGTGCTTGGGATTGTCCCCACCCAAATGCAGGACCTTGTGCTTAGTCCTGTTGAACTTCATGAGGTTGGTATGGGTCCACCTCTCAAGCCTGTCCAGATCCCTCTGGATAGCATCCCTTCCCTCTAGTGTGTCAACTACACCACTCAGCTTGGTGTCATCTGCAAGCTTGCTGAGGGTGCACTCAATCCCACAGTCTATGTTGCCTATGAGGATGTTGAATAGCACTGGTCCCAGCACCAATTATTGAGGAACGCCTCTCATCACGACCAGTGTCCACTTGGAGACTGAGCCATCCACTGCAACCCTCTGAGTGCCACCACCCAGGTAATTTGTTATCCAGCGAGTGATCCATGGATTCATAGGAGAGGATAAAAGTGAATTGAGACTTTAAAGATACCTCTGAATGCTTTGAAGAAGGAACACATTGTTTCTCAGTCCACAGAGAATATACTTAAATGCAGGAAGAAGAATGTCAGACTTGACATTAGAGAAAATTTCTGTTGATAGTTCTGACATGAATCATTTTCCATGTCCAGTGTGTATAACTGAACATTGACTGGGAAGGCTGTAAAGTCTCCTTTATGGCAGGGTTTCAGGAGCATATTAGGTGTTAGGCATTCAGTTGTCAGAATGACACAGGTGTAGATGATGTACCAGAGAAACTGGATGTCTCTCCTGAGGACCATTTCTGTTCTGTGATTTCAAAATAGATACTCTGATATCGTAAGAAACAAATATGAGAAAGCAATTTGGAAGAGAGGAAAGATGCTTTCTAATTCTTGTTCTAAGGAACAAGAAAAGAGTCACGCAGCATGAGTGGGAGTAAGTGAATATTACTCTGAAGAGGAGCAGAAGTTGTTAGGCTCTTTGTACACAGACCCAGGATTAAAATGATAGGAGAGATGGTCCAAATTTACATCCATCAGAAATAAAGGGAGCATGCTTTTTAACTTCCTAGGGGCATAAGCACGAACTTTGCACAGGACATGAGGGGAAGAGAACATGTAATTTCCAAGCTTACTACTCAGTGAGATCTAAAAACCAATATGTCATTACTATTATGTAGTCCCCTAAAACTTACTGGTATCCAGATGGAATTTAAAGTTTGCTTACAGTACAAAATTAGACATATTGTTTGTAAAGGCTAAAGGCAAGTCCTTCTTCTTAACTAAAAGAGGCATAAAAATATCAAAGCCAAATCCTGTGGCCTTCAGTTAGGTAAAACTCATCCTGGGATTTGAGGGACTAACTCTTTTATTTTTAGCTATGGACATTGCTTACATCATTGTGGCTTTTCTTCATCTCTATCAAAGAGAGACAGTCTTGCTCATTACCGCATAGCACTTTAAGAACTTTGGTTGATAAGATGAATCTCTGTTATGAGATTGTTATTTAAAAATGTCTCCTTTCCAGAGAGATCAGTGCTTGCCCAGCCAACATTTGTGTTTGGAAAGAAGGACCACCCTTTGAAGGTAAAAACTTTAACTTCTGTTTTGCATCACTGATAAAAGAATACTGGAAATGAAGATTGTATAGACAATGATTCTAGTAGTAATAAAGGATTTTAGCCCAGGATAAGGCTTGCAGTAACTGAGAGTAAAACAGAACAAGGAAAAGAGAAAAGTAGAAATGTGATTGGTTTTAATACACATATGTTGGACTGATATACTTTGTGACCTGCTCTAGAAAATGGCTGCTCTATTCTCCTTGACCTTTCCTCACTTATATTTTTTTTTCCAGCGGCCTGCTGAAGATCCAGTTTGCAAAGCTGATAATGGTAATAACCACATCACTGAAATGGTATAATAATACACTGATATATTCATAGGATCTGACTGGAAAGACAGTTTGGAACTGAAAAGTGTGTATGGAACTTTATTTTGTATGAGCTGGGACAAATGCCTGTTAATAGTCTAAGATTACGTGGGATGTTGAGCCACCTTCTATATCCCAATATGTATGTCCCTGTCTTACCTCAAGAATTCCTCTTGGCATCTTACCTCTCATGTTCATCAGAAAGTCAGACTAAAAGAAGCCCTGAAGAGAGTCCAAGTATATTCATCTGCTATATTTGCTCTGAACTTCCCTTTTCTATTTCTTGAAGCTATAATATAAAGCAGCTTATCATTTTTAGTGCCTTCCAAGCCTGTGGGCCATGATCTGATTGCAATGACTAAATTTTAGGTCCCCTGAAATTAGCAGAAAACTCCCTAGGGCTTCCTGCCAAGTGCTGACAGAGATGCCAAGACCCTGTTTTGCTTTTCTGTATTAAGACTGTTCTGTAAATCATTCCTAGAATTTATTGTGTTCAGGTCTTGATTATTTATCATAACACTGTGCTGAAATCACCTGCCAATCAATCCCTGCAGGAAATTATATTTGCTTTTCTCTAGATTTCATCTATTGTTCCAAAAAACGTGCAAGTTCATCATCTTGTGTTTTCCAGAAGTCTGGCTCAGAATCTAACATAGGTATGCCACTTGAGTCCTGTCATGTTGTAATAACTGTAGTTTTGTACTCTTGTCTGCTAAAGAAGTGAAGGAGTTTTTCTGTCCAAGAATTGTTTTCGCATGGTAGAAACATGCTAACATTTATGTTAGCTTTCATGGTAATTTTTAGTAAGTGCTTCTCAAAGTGAAAATACATTATTTTGCTGTATTAACATAATATTACATAAACTCTTAAAAATGTATATATTTCATAAGTTTCCTTGATGAGCTCAAACAGTCAGTAGAAAAAGAGGGCTAGACAGGAATGAGATGCCATGATTGTGGAAGAGATTTTTGTTCCTTGGGCAATTCCTGAAAATATGAAGTAATTTTCAGAAGGACTTCTCTTTTCATCTAACTGACAGGTGACCTCAAAGTTCCTTTGAAGAATGTGTTTTTCTTCTATGATGTCCAGAAGAAGTGCACACAAGTCACTGTGTTAAGCAGTAGGACTGGTCACTTTTTTATAGTATTTATTTAACCTGGGAGTGTGACCAGGAGGTTGCTTTAGTATTTATATATTACTATGTATGAATGATATTTTCGTTTAGTTCTGTGACAAACCTGAACATAACTAAAAGGATTTAAGATAACCTAAGTTGGGTTCACACTAAAAATTACACTGAGATCATGTACAAAAAATACATAGGGTAGAAATTTTAGAGTATGTCTGCATCAAAATATGAAGTGGGATGCAAAACCAAGCTTAGTTCTCTTGGTTGTCCAAATACTAACTGATATCTTAACTCCCTGCTTCTGTTTTGAACCTCACCAACTGATGATCTCTGAGACAAAACCACTGTAGAGTAGGCTAGATGTAAGCAGTTGATCTGAACCAGGCTGTGCTACTTGGCCTCAGAGATGTCTTCAGTTCAGCAGTATCAACATAAGTAGTATCCTTCAGAAAGCAGTAGATAGCAGAAAATAATTTATTCTGCCGTCAATTAAGCGGAATAAATTATCTGTCTAACTTTAAATTAATCTTGTTTTGTTCCAAATAATGTTAATTTGTTTATTATTCTTTCAGATACAACGCTTGCTGAGAAAAGAAGAAGATCATCTTCCTTTACCGTTCTTCCTAGGTTCCCTCCCTCCCAGCCAGGTAAGTGGGAAAAAAAAAATGACAACAATATATATTTACACAGCAAAGCATACATTACCTAAAATCAAGAGGTGTACAGAACAAGGACAGAGCTGAACATGATTGAGCCTAGGCTGTTATTTGGATAGAAGAATGAAATACGTTAGGAGAGTTGGCGGCTCAATAGAATAAATGTTTTTTGCATTTGGTTTTAGGGAATCCCACAATAGGGAGGAATCTTTGAATGAGTTGCCAATAGACATTTTATTGTGTTGGTAGAAATAGTAACTGAAAAACCAAAATGGAGTTAAAGTAATTAAATTAGTTAGTTTGCTTGCTTTAATTTAATAGTTGTTGCTCCTGTACAAGCATCATTTTTTTGTCCCAGGAGCCTGTCTTTGATCTGACTAGTGACATTACGAACATTCTCTCACTCCTTTATACTGGAGAAGACAGAGTGGACTGAAGTCCTAGTCTGTCCTGCCAGGAGCAGGTCTTTGACAGACTTTGGCATGAGGGAATTATAAACAGTCTTACAAGGATAGTGTTACAGTAACAAATGACATTCTTCCTGCGATTAAAAAGCAGTGATCATGTGTAGATCTATCACTTGTGTACATTTACAGGATATGATATATGGTTGCTATTACTGACATGTTTCTGGTTGCTATTTTTTGTCTTTGTAAAAATGGTGAAAATACCACTAGTACAATGCCATCATTGTAGTAAATTACAAAATCCTTTTTGTAAGAACATGGGCAGGGTATATTAATCTCTTCCCATGTTCTCAGGTCTCATTTACTCATCTGAGAAAATCATTAGATGGAACCAGATAGTGTTGCCATTTCAACAGCTTTGCTTACTAGCAGCACCTGGTTTTCAAAGCTGAATATTTTCAGAGATTAATGCATCTGTTAATGTTCAAAAGACTTCAGTCTCTGGCAGAACCAGAAAACCCATGCTACTTGCTGTGCATAAGTCAGTAAGAGTTGTTCAGATGGATAAGTTAGGATATTGCTTAGACACTACCAAAGTGGGGAGGACTTGCACAAATGTTGATTAATCGTTTAAAGTTTATCATTATTTGTTAATCAAGTTTAAATTCCTTATTCATAGCAAAGAAGAGCAACATATTCATGACCTCAGCTCTTCTTCGACAAAACATTGACATGGGAAGTACAAAAGAAGGTAATTGTCATTGCAATATTCATTCACTGTAGCTCCGAAAATACATTGTTAACAGATTCAGAAAAGATAAAATTGACAGCTGTACTGTAAGCTGAGTGATACGCTAATTGCCTTTATGAAGCTAATGATTTATTTATTTGATGGTGATTTATTTGGTGATTCTCTGAGCTCTGGTCTGAGATTCTGCTTTGACTATTTAATTCCTCAATGGAATGAATGTAATCTTGAATAGTGAAATTCCACATTTCTAATACATGACTGAATAGGGATAAAACTCCACTCTTTGAGAAGGCAATGAAGTGCCTTCTTGGTGTCTGCATTGGCCAGTGCATGATTAAATATGAAATGCTGGAAGGCAGCATTGATTTGTTTGGACCTAAATGTGTAATTTAGGTCCAAACATACATTTAGGTTTTAAATATCTTCTGTTTAAATATTTATATACATGTAATGCATTACCCTTCTATCCTGATGGGGTAACGGTGCAGTAACACCTGCAGAGTTGTGTGTTTTAGGGGAATTAAGATTTTTAAGAATATGTACTAAGGAAAGAGTAACAATAGAAGTAATTTAAATAAACTTTGAAGCTTTCAGTTCATGAAACAAAACACATAGGTATTAACTAAATGTGGAGAAAATGTCTCAGTTTAAATATTTTGTCTTTGTATTTTGCAAGGATCCTTGCCAGAAAGTCAGCTGTGGAATGTTATTAGGCCTGCCATTTTACAACCTCCACAAGCCCTGACCTGTCCTGAAAATCCTGCAGTATCTCCAGTGACTAAGAAACAAGCACATATTCAGGTAAGGAGAAAAGTAATTTTACTGACAAAAATATGTTTGGAGCTCAGTGAGACGTAAACTAAAACAAAACAAAAGCGTGGAGCTATTCTAAAGCAGTTCAGTATTCCACTGCATGATTTTCAAGGAAGTTCCTCTGTCAGTTTCAGGGGAATCAGTGGAAACTGCTAAACCAGTGCTGTTTAAAAAAAAAACATGTCTTCTTTGCAGTCTAATGCAACTTTCAATATTGGAGTGGGCAAATGGAGTTTGGGATTTTCTGTATCTTTTGGTGCTGACTGAGTGTACAGCAGGAAGAAGCCTTTACCAATTTCCACATACATCAACCTCAGTGACTCTGGATTTCTTGCAAACATGTTTATAACAGAAAATAAGCTTGGATTGATTAATTCATCCAGTTTTATTATTTTATTTCTAGTTATCTGAAGACAACTCTTATTCCTCATCTGAGAATTCAGCAGGCTCCAAAGCAGCAGTGAAGTCATCTATTACTGTAAATATTTCTAGCTCTAAAACAGCACGGTAAGTTTGATTATTATATTTGTACACCATTTGGTTACTTAGTGTATGGCCTGCCCTTTTGTCCTGCATGTCTAAACCTATGCTGTCCAAATCCACAATGTACACGCTGGTATTTGTGTGTGGTGCCAGGATTTGTGGATGCTGACATGAGTTCCGTATGCCGTAGGGAATGGAATCCTGCCAGGAAACAGTTCATTTCTCATTAGCAAAACCAGAAACTACTTTGGTTCAGTATCTCATGCAGCTTTGTCAGTTCAAACTGTATCTTGGTTTTGAATGTTTACAGTCATGTTTGTGTTTCTTTGGAGAGTTCTGTTGTGATGACATAGCTGCCCCATTTCATAAACTGATGATTTGCCAATATATGTAAGTATATCAAACACAGAACTCATGAAGAAAAGCATGCAGTACCATCACTGAATAAAGCAGAGGATATGCTACATCTGTACACATACAAGAATTTGTGTCCTGAGTGACTAGCTGTGATGACTGCAGTGGAGTAGCATCTTTGTGCAGACATGGGTTGTCCAGGATGAACTTCTGAATTTCTGCATGAAGAAGCTGACTTCTTCGGATTGGGATCATCACCTCCCTGGATAACAGAAAAAAATCATATCAGTGTGAAAATGGACCTTTGATTTACTCATCTTTCTCTGAAGTCTGGCTCATGAAAATACTAATGGCCTTTCTGTGATTAACTAGTTCAGTGCAGACAGGTTATTTTGTATTAATAATGCTTGCTAATGGCATATGACAGTTTTTTACTTGGAAGTTGTGAGTATCAGGAATATACCTGAAGTGAGTTACTGATGAGAGAAGAACATTTCAAAATTGTTAGAGTTAGGGTAGTACGGTTAGGTTGTGGTTGGACTTGATGTTCTGTACGGTCTTTTCCAACCTGAGCAATTCTATGATTCTATGATTTAATTGCTAAGGCCACAGCCAGTATATTTTTGATATTGCATCCTTTCTCCCTCCCATACAAACTTGGGACTTCAGAGAAGATGAGGAATTTTATATGCACAGACAACTTAGATTCTTAATCTTTATTGATAAGAAAAGCATTACTAAAGCAGAGATGCACAATGGTGGTTTTGGAAGAGTCAACCTCCCCTTGTCAATCACGGTTAATGCTGTGATGAAACCCTGTGAGGACAAGATGGAGCCACACAACATACTGGATTTTAGGAGATTCAGAATGATAGTAAAAGCTAAAGGAAGACACTGCCACCTTCAGATCAGTTGATACCAATATTCCAAACCCACTTAGCCTCTGACACCTGCACAGTGTCTAGGAAAGGACAACTGAGTGGCTGTCTTTTCTGAAATAGATGAATAGAGAAATGCTTTGCTGTGTTTCAATACTGACCAGTTGCAGGACTTGAAAGTTCTTACAGTGTTAATTTTCCTTTCATTTTTAAAAGGCATTTCTCATCTGCTTGGTGCCTGATTAGTTTAATGCATCAGAACTGTGGTAAAATGTTAAGTTAATTGCCAAGCTGAATATTCATTTAAAAGTAGCCAGGTGCTTTCTGTTCTTCCAGCATTACAGAGGGGTACTAGTACCTTTCTTCTGATTTGTGTAAAGTGCTTGTTTCTTTAAAATACTTCATTGGAATCTTTTTCTGGCATAGCTCTTTTCTCACAGGTAACTTGACAGATACTCAAACAAACAACTCTATTTAATTCCATATGCATGCTAAAGAGTAAGAACCTATGCAGCCAAGGCCTGCAGATTACAAAGTAAAAAAATCTTGTCAGTTTAATTATTAATCATGGTGAAGATATTGACATCTGTGTACATTTAAAAAAAAAAAAAAAAAAAAAAAAAAAGGAAGGAGACTCAATCTGAGGATGTCCTGTTCTGTCTTTCTTCTTCTGCTTGTTCTCTATGTAATGCTATTCTTTAGAGTGATGAATGAAAATGGTTTCTTTGTCCTCCATAGTTGGTGTGGCTGCCCATTTTCTATTTCCAACAGTTCAGTTTCCTGAACTAGCTGAAGCATAGAGCAATTTGTTTTCTTGAGTCTGATTATGAAATCAGTAATTACATTAAAATTATTAAAATGATTGTTATTAATATTAATTATGAACACTTAAAACTATTAAAAGAATTAAGGAAAATATTATTAAAAAAGGAAATCATTTCTTAAGTGACAAATACAATGCTGGGAAAATGCAGGCTTCTGATGCTGTATTCAGTTTTCACAATGATTTGCTTGAAAACCTGCAGGGGGTCAGAGCCAGCATTAGAACTGTCAACTTTTTGGACATCGAGAAGGATCGGCCGAGTACCTAGATCTGCTTCTATCTCTCCAGGGTCCTCTCCAAGTTTCTCCTTCTATTCTTTGTTCGTGGTAATTCCCTGAATTCAGTGCCTCTGTTTTGTATCTCCATGGCAATGTCATTCCTGGCACATTTTCTTGCCCTGCAGCAAAGTGAGGATATTAAGATTTTAATGAGTCCCTCAGGCTGGTATTTCCAATTTAATGATGACAACTAGAAAAATCATAGAATCATAGAATCACAGAATCACTAAGGTTGGAAAAGACCTAAAAGATCACCCAGTCCAACCGTTCACCTATTCCCAATAGCTCCTACTAAACCATGTCCCTCAACACAACATCCAGTCTTTCCTTGAACACCCCCAGGGTCGGTGATTCCACCACCTCCCTGGGCAGTCCATTCCAGTGCCTGACCACCCTTTCTGAAAAGTAATACTTCCTCATGTCCAGCCTGAATCTCCCCTGCCGTAGCTTGAAACCATTCCCCCTGGTCCTATCACTAATGACACGAGAGAAGAGGCCGACCCCCAGCTCACTACAACCTCCCTTCAGGAAGTTATAGAGAGCAATGAGGTCTCCCCTGAGCCTCCTCTTCTCCAGGCTGAACATTCCCAGCTCCTTCAGCCTCTCCTCATAAGCCCTGTGTTCCAGACCCCTCACCAGCTTTGTTGCCCTTCTTTGAACACGTTCCAGGGCCTCAATATCTTTCTTGCAGTGAGGGGCCCAAAACTGGACACAGTACTCGAGGTGCGGCCTCACGAGTGCTGAATATAGGGGAACAATCACCTCTCTGCTCCTGCTTGCAACGCTGTTCCTGATGCAAGCCAGGATGCCATTGGCCTTCTTGGCCACCTGGGCACACTGTCGGCTCATGTTCAGCCGAGCATCAATCAATACCCCCAGGTCCATTTCCTCTACGCAGTCCTCCAGCCACACCGCCCCAAGCCTGTAGCGTCGCCTGGGGTTGTTGTAGCCAAAGTGCAGGACCCGGCATTTGGCCTTGTTGAAACTCATCCCATTGGCTTCAGCCCAGCTCTCCAGCCTGTCCAGATCCCTCTGGAGGGCCTCGCTACCCCCAGGCAGATCCACACTTCCAGCCAATTTGGTGTCATCTGCGAATTTACTGAGGGTGCGCTCGATGCCCTCATCCAGGTCATCAATAAAGATATTGAAGAGGACAGGCCCCAGCACCGACCCCTGGGGAACACCACTCACGACCGGTCGCCAGCTGGATTTGACTCCATTCACCACCACTCTCTGTGCCCGGCCCTCCAGCCAGCTCCTTACCCAGCCAAGAGTGTACCCATCCAAGCCTCTGGCTGCCAGCTTCTGCAGGAGAATGCTGTGGGAGACAGTGTCAAAGGCTTTGCTGAAGTCTAGGTAGACCACATCAACAGCCTTTCCTTCATCCACCAGATGGGTCACTAGATCATAGAAGGAGATCAGGTTGGTCAAACAGGACCTGCCCTTCATGAACCCATGCTGGCTAGGCCTGATCCCCCGGTCACCCTGCACATGCCGCATGATCTCCCTCAAGACAATCTGCTCCATAACCTTCCCTGGCACCGAGGTCAGGCTGACAGGCCTGTAGTTCCCCGGATCCTCCTTACGACCTTTCTTATAAATGGGAGTCACATTGGCAAGCCTCCAGTCTTCTGGGACCTCACCAGTCAACAAGGAGCACTGACAGATGATGGAAAGCGGCTCAAGATGATGGAAGGCGGCTCGAGATGATGGAAAGTGGCTCGGCCTTATCCTGCACTGATATTTTTTTTCTTAAATTTCTCAAAACACCCCAAATCCATTTCCCATTATTTGTTTGAGACAATACTCTGGCTTCAGTTTTTTTAACTCTTCTGGAATGCTGTCCTTACTGATTTGCTGGTGCAGCAACCTGGAAATATCAGATTAAATCTTAGGATAGATATTGATTGCAATTCAGTGAAATATACTGGAGAATTTTCTTTACTAAAAGATAAGAAATTCAGCTTAAACACACTTCAGATTCCCCTTTAATGGTGAAAAAAATGTATGAAAGATTTTAAGGCTGCAAAAAGTCTGATTTTCTGATTTTTGTTTCTTATTTTTCCTTTGTCTAGCAGCACATCAAATATGAGATAAAAATAGGAATATTTTTTTTCCTAAGTGCTAGATAGACACAGTTTGTACTGAAGAATTCCTTCATCCTACTTGAAGAGATTTCAAGCACACTGCCATTGTGAACACAGAAACTTAGTTGTAAACTCAGATCATAAAATCATAGAATTATCAAGGTTGGAAAAGCCTTCCAAGATCGTCCAGTCCAACCATTCACCTACACCAATATGTCCCCACTAAGCCACGTTCCTTAATACTGCATCCAAACATTTCCTGAGCACCTCTAGGGATGGTGTCTCCACCACCTCCCTGGGCAGCCCATTCCAGTGTCTGACCACTCTTTCAGAGAAGAAATGTTTCCTAACATCCAATATCCATGCTTCGAGCATGGTGGCCTAGTGGAAGATGTCCCTGCCAATAACATGGAGGTTGGAAATAGATGATCTTTAAAGGTCCCTTCCAACTCAAACTGTTCTGTGATTCTGTGATTCTACAGTACTACTTTTCTGTGAAACCTTTATGTTTTTGCAGTATTTATCTGATTGCTTAAGAGGTCATTTTTTTGTTTGTCTGTAATAATATAAGATGTGGTAGAGTAAACATATGAACTTATTTATATTCTTTACCAAGTAACATGCTTGTTTTATTTAAAGACATTGTGTTCTTTAAATAGTTCTAAATCACATCCTTATTTTGTTCCCACAGAAGTCAGTTGTTAGAAGACAGAAGTGTTCTAAGCAGCAGCAATTCTGGTTTTGTGTTTGGAGAAAATATGGTTGAGAGAGTTGTGGTAAGATCTGTAAATTCTGGCACACTCTTTGTGTGTGTGTGAATGTATTTTTTTTTCAGAGATTGATTCTTTCTAGCTCCTTCTGTTCTTTTTAAGATATGAGTATACAGATTGCAATGGCTGTTGAAGAGAAAATAACTATTTTCTGTAGGAGGGGTAGGCATCCCTGTTTTTCCATTCAACATAAATACTCTAATTACAAGTAACAGTATGCATTTTTCTTTTGCTAAATTTTTGACTTGTAAAACAGTTGCTTAAACATTCCATGCAAAGCACAACAGCAACAATAGCAGAGAAATGAATGTGTCCTTTACCACTCATATAGTTTCTATCCATCCATTAAGAACTGGGAGAAGTTCATTTGAATACTCTTGGACGGAAGACAATATTTAACACTCACCATAGATACTGTCCATATTAAGATATATTGTGCATGCCATCAAACAGCTTAATGAATTAAATCCTGCTGAGGACTATACCACTCAGGGTGGAATTAAAATTCACTTTCTAGTAAGAGTACAGTGAAAAAAATATGCGTATCTGCCAGTGAAAAAAATTGAGAACTGAAGGGCTGGTTTGCAGCTTCTGACAAAGATTCATATGTAAGATAGTTTAGTCACAGTATTGTAGGAAGTCATTAGTGTTAATTTAAAACATGGATAAGAAGCTTAATCTGAAAAACTGAAAGATTGAAAGTTTTAATTCCTCTGATATTAAATTTGTGGTGTCTGGAAGTTTTGAGCTATTCTGGGGTTTAAGTATGAAATTGGAAATTAGCTGTAACTTAAATCCACTGATAGACTTACGTGTTTAAAGCTTAGTCCTGGATCCTTACAAAGAAGCCATAATTCTTGGCAGGATGATGTACTGATTTTATGACAACAAAATTACTTCCAATGAAGAATAAAATTGTATAGTCTATGTTGTTTTACTCATGATGTATTACAATTCCAAATCTTCTCCCTGCTGTTCAGTAAAAGATTCAGTGTTCTGTCTGATAAGAAGTAATATAGCCTCTTTATATAAGTATGAAATCTTACTTTCCCTTCTTTTTTTTCTAGAGCCCTGAAAAGCATTCTGTGTCATGCAATGAAGTTGATTCATACAAAAGAGAAATAACATCGCTTTATATAGAATCTTTTCATGTAACAAGTAAGCGTACTCAGCAAAAAAGTACAATTAGTCTTCATACTGCATGTTTGAGTGTGTTTGACGGTGTCAAATGAATTGTGTTAAGTAGTTTTCAAATGTTACTGGCACATCCAATCTCCAGAATACTATTATGTACTTGCATGTGAAGTCTGTGTTTAGAATCATACAATCATAGAATGGTTTGAGTTGGAAGGGACCATTAAGTTCCAATTCTTGTGCTTTAGACTTTCCCTTCATCTGTATATGTGCTTGGGATTGTCCCCACCCAAATGCAGGACCTTGTGCTTAGTCCTGTTGAACTTCATGAGGTTGGTATGGGTCCACCTCTCAAGCCTGTCCAGATCCCTCTGGATAGCATCCCTTCCCTCTAGTGTGTCAACTACACCACTCAGCTTGGTGTCATCTGCAAGCTTGCTGAGGGTGCACTCAATCCCACAGTCTATGTTGCCTATGAGGATGTTGAATAGCACTGGTCCCAGCACCAATTATTGAGGAACGCCTCTCATCACGACCAGTGTCCACTTGGAGACTGAGCCATCCACTGCAACCCTCTGAGTGCCACCACCCAGGTAATTTGTTACCTAGCGAGTGATCCATCCAGCAGATCCATTTTTTTCCAGTTTAGTGACTGGGATGTCATTCCGGACAATGTCAATCTACAATCCAGGTTGATGATGTCAGTTGCTCTTCCTTTATCCATTGATGCCTGTAACTCCATTATAAAAGGCCACCAAGTTTGCTAGGCATGATTTGCCCTTGGTGAAGCCATGCTTATTACCTCCAATCACCTCATCTTTATTTTCCACGTGCTGTAATAGGGCCTTCAGGAGAATCTACTCCATGATCTGCACAGAGGTGAGACTGGCTGGCCTGTAGTTCCCTGGATGTTTTTTTCCTTTGGGGGCTATGTTTCCCCTTTTCCAGTCAGTGGGAGCTCCACCAAACTGCCATGACCTTTCAATTACGATGAAACTGCCAAGCAGCTATCCACCAGTTCCCTCAGAAGCCATGGATAGATCTCATTAGGGCCCATGGACTTGTGCATCTTCAGTTTCTTTATATTATGTTGAATGTGGCCTTCACTTACAGAGGGCAGATCTTCTTTCTCCAGCTTCTTACCTTCCTTTCTGTAACTTGGGCAGCATGGCTAGAGCCCTTGCTGGTGCAGTCATAGAATCATAAAATCACACAGGTTGGAAAAGACCTTAAAGATCATCGAGTCCAACCACAACCTAACCATACTACCCTAACTGACCACCCTCCACTAAATCATGTCCCTGAGCACCCACCCCATCCAAACAGTTTTTCAACACATCCAGGGATGGTGACTCAACCACCTCCCTGGGGAGCCTATTCCAGTGCTTAATAACCCTTTCTGTAAAGAAGTTTTTCCTGATATCCAACCTAAACCTCCTCTGGCACAACTTGAGGCCATTTCACCTCACCCTGTCACCTGTCATCAGTGAGAAAAGACCAGCCCCACTCTCACTGTAAGTTCCTTTCATGTATTTGAGAAATAAGGTCTCCCCTCAGCCTCCTTTTTTCCCAGACTGAACACCCCCAGTTCCTTCAGTCTCTCCGCATAGGACACATTCTCCAAGCCCTTCACAAGCCTTGTTGCCCTTGCTGGACCTGGTCCAGCATGTCAATGTCCTTTGTGTACTGAGGTTCCCAAAATTGAACACAGTACTTGAGGTGAGGCCTCACCAGTGCCAAGGACAGGGGAAGGATTACTTCCCTAGTCCTCCTCACCACTCCATTCCTTCCAGTCTGAGACAAAGAAGTCAATAAGCACTTCAGCCTTCTCCGTATCCCTTGTAACTAAGTCTCCGGTTTCCTCCCAGAGAGGGCTTACATCTTCCCTAGCCTTCCTTTTATTACTGATATACCTATAGAACAACTTCTTGTTCCCTTTTAAGTCCTTGGCTAGATTAATTCTACTTGGATTTTAACTTTCTTAACCTATCTCTGGCTGCTTGGACAACTTCTTTGCAGTTCTCCCAGGTATTTTGTTCCTGCCTATACTCCATATAGATTTTCTCTTTGCACCAAAATAAGTCCAGGAGCTACTTGTTTGTCCACAGAGGCCTCCTGGCATTCTCGCCTGCTTTCCTCTTTCTTGGGATGCACTCCTCTGGGCTTGAAGGAGAAGGTCCTTGAATACTGACCAGCTTTCTTGAGCCCTTCTTTCCTCCAGGCCTTTATCCCATGTCACCCTGCCAAGCAGTTTCCTGAAGAGGTCAAAGTCTGCTCTCCTGAAGTCTAGAGCAGCAAGCTTGCTGTGCACCCTCTTTTATACTCTAAGGATCTTTTTAACTCCACTCATGGTCACTACAGCTAAGACTGCTCTTGAGCTTCATGTCATCACCAGCCCCTCTTTGTTGGTGAGGACAAGGACCAGCATGGCACCTTTTCTTGTGGGTTCCTATACCATTTGGAAGAGGATGTTATCATCAGCACAGCTGGTGCTCTGCTGTGTCATCCTTACAACATACATCAGGGAGGGTAAAATTCCCTGTGAGAGTATCCTGTTTTTTGAATGTAAAGCTTCTCAGTCTTTCTGGATCAGTGGCCTATAGCAGATCTTCACTACAACATCTCCTTCCCCTGCATTCCCTGTAACTCTAACCGGGGGATGGTTTCTCAAAGCTTCTGTGACTGAAGTAACTGAAGCCTTGTTTTTGACACCTCTCCTTTAACCACATATTGTTTTTTTGATTTTTTATTTTATCAGTGCTTTCTCTCCCCATTCCCCTAACTGGGAGGACTGATAAGAAAACTACCTGTGCTCCTAAGTCCTTCACTCGTGCTCCCAGCTCTTGATATTCATGCTGCTCATAGCTGTACCACTTGTCCCTGTGTGAAACAGCAACAGCAGGTGGGATGTACAAGGTGTGGCAACCTCTCTTCCCCACCTCTTCCCCCAGCTCTCTTCTGGCAGCTGCTCTTTCCTCCTTGATGTGAGCAATAAGCAGCAGACCTCTCTCAGTAATGGATCAGGATGACAAATGAGTGCTGCAGCAGAAAGCAGCTGCAGTTTGGTATATAAGATCTGAACTAGACTGACTTCAAAAGGAATTATCTAAGTTACACAGGAAAAGGTAAAGTTTAACTGCTGTTTGATACTTGAAAAAGTGCAGTGAGCTTAGTGAGTAACTTTCAGAATGCATTTCTGAACTATGGTTTTAAACTATCTGCTGTTCGTATTCATTTGTAACTGAATAGTAGGGCTGAAACTTCTGTAAAGACAGATTTCAGGGGTTATTTGTGACTTTTTTGGGCAGCTTTTCTGCTAGGCAAGACACAGAAACCTTAGCTGTAAGGGAATCCCAAAAGGGTCCCCATCTTTAGCCATCTTTGCACTCTTCTCTACTAATGGTAGGATTATAGGATCTTCTTTTGCAGATACATTCTTTCAAATCAAAAGGAAAAAACAAACAAACAACATAGAGAACGTGTATAATACATGCATCAATTGGGACATATGCCTTTCATTATATGTTAATCTCCTGAGCATTATTAGAAACCACTTTTATCTGGAAAATCAATTTCTAATTGTTCAGGGCTTGTTTCTGCAACTCGTCCCTTAGGGCAGATCACTGCATCTTCAAGAGAGCCCCATTCAATTCACAGTGGTCATGAATATCTGAGACATTTTGCAGTATTTCAGCTTTTTTTCCTTCTAGTTGGACAAAAGTGGAATAACACTAAATGACATTGGATGCCACAGGGAGTACTGAATTCACAGGCCACCATGCATGCTAAAAATACTCATTCTACAGAAATAAAGATTTCCTTCTTTCTTTCCCTACAGAAACAGCTTTGTTGAGGAATGCAACACAGACTGAGTCAGCAGCTGCTCATATTTCCAAGCCAGGGGAGAAAATTCTGTTAGATAAAGTTGAAGTTATAACTGGAGAAGAAGAAGAACACAATGTATTACAGGTATGTATTTCATAACGCCCTGATTGTCAGCAGTTTTGTTGATGAAAAGAATGTCTAAATCTGAATTTACTAAATTTTACTATATTTATAGAATTTACTTCTGAAGCAATCATAACATCACTATATGTTTTAAATTTTAAGTTTTTTTAAGATACACTTCTGCTTTTTTTTTCCTTGTCTTAAATTTTCTTTTTCATATTATATCCATATGCTATTGTAACTGAAACATCAAAAAAGAAGTAATTTGAGTAAAGCTTTTTTTAATGACAAAACATTTTTGGGGAAAGAATGTGTCATTTAATAATCGCCTGTATAAACAAGTACATAACTTTTTCAGTGAATGAGGGAATATGCTATTAGAGCACTTGCAATGCATTAACCTGTCAGTGAATATCACAGATGAAGAATTAATGAAGATTAAATAATTGTAAAAGTAAACTAGAATTCATAGAATCACAGAATCACAAGGTTGGAAACAACCTACAAGATCATGTAGTCCAGCCATCCTCCCATTACCATTGCTACCACAAACTGAACCATATCTCACAGCTCCTTGTCCAGACGCCTCTTGAACACTGCCAGGGACGGCGACTCCACCACTTCCCTGGGCAGCCATTCCAGTGCCTGACCACTCTCGGAGAGAAAAAGTTTTTCCTTATGTCTGATCTTAAACCTCCTCTGACAAACTTGTGGCCATCTTCTTGGGTGCTGTTTGTTGCCTGGGAGAAGAGGCCAAAGCCCTCCTCATCACAGCCTCCCTTCAGGAAGTTGTAGAGAGCAATGAGGTCTCCCCTGAGCCTCCTCTTCTCCAGACTGAACAATCCCAGCTCCCTCAGCCGCTCCTCATAAGACTTGTGCTCCAGACCCCTCCTAGCTTCATTGCCCTTCTCTGGACACGTTCCAGGGCCTCAATGGTTTTTTTTTTGTAGTGAAGGGCCCAAAACTGAGCAAAGTACTTGAGGTGTGGCCTCACCAGTGCTGAGTACAGAGGGATGATTAGTGCCCTGCTCCTGCTGGCCACAAATTCATGTTGATTGTTTTCAAAGAATAACTTAACGTTTAGCACAAATTAGGGAGTCCTTTCCTTATGTAAAAATGTCAGTGTACCTATTTATCTATCCTGTATCCATGCGTACATATGTATTCAAAGCCACATCAGAAAATTTAAAAGCATAAAGTTTTAAAACCAATAAAGTTAACAGTGGATCACAATTTCCATCATGTGTTTCTTTTTCAGATTAACTGCAAGCTCTTCCTATTTAATAAACTTTCTTTAACTTGGATTGAAAAAGGCAGAGGATCCCTGAGGCTTAATGACACTTCCAGCAATAAATGTGGCATGTTGCAATCGAGGCTGAGTAAGAATTAAATAACAAAGTAACACATACACAAAAGACTGATTAACTTGTACTGTTCCTGACTAGAATCAGTTTCTCTCTAATCATTTAAAACTGAGTAGCTAATTTTATTTAAATCAAGCTGCTGTGAATCTTTATATCCTTACCTGATGGAGTTGGCTTTGTTACAAACTGAGGCACTTCCTTGCCTCTGGGTGTTTCATATGGCTTGTGTATGCCCACATACTCATGTTGTGAGGTTCTGTGTCTTTTTGCTGGAAAGTATCTCCAAATTAGCTACCAGTCTGACAGTTTGTGCATCAGCACTGTTTCAAGACACTTCTGGAATGCTGTTTTTCCTGTGCTGTCATTTTTGTAATGCGTTATAGTTTCAGTAGATTATTTTCAGATTTATTAAAGAAATTAATGTATTTTGAAAATATTAGTTGCATGGAAGTGCTGGGAGAAACTGCTAATAAAAAGGAAGACAGTTCCAATCACTTATGTATGAACCTTCTTATTTTAGTTATGCGAAATCAAGGCAGCTTGAGACTGATTCTCAACACCAGACTCTGGGGTCAAATGGTGTTAAAAAGAGCAAACAGTAAAAGCCTGTGTTTCACAGCAACAGATCAAGAGGACCACTCTGTTCAAGTATTTCTAATTCAGGTAATCAAGAGAGAAAATCCCACCCAAATCCCCACCTCATCTAGATTTCTGAAGACTTGCTGGGGCTATGGTTTTAGCAAATAGCGTTCTATGTCTTGTTAAGCTATGATTAGCTTAGGCTTTGTATGGCTTTTGTTATGAAATGAGTTAGCAGTGTTATCCCATCATTCAAAAAAGGTATGAAGATGTGATATTGCCTCAGGAGAGACACTTCTTGATTCTGGTTCACATACCACTGAATTGGTGTTGTTCCATAGTATGGCATGCATCACTTACTGTTTCTTAGAGAGGCAACATAGTAAGAATTTCTACACAGGTAGTCACGCATTCATAAGTCACCTAGGAACAAGGCAGCAGCTTTCTGCTGTGATTCTGGACACAGTGCTTGCACACTTCTCATGCTTGACCAACAGACTTCTCTAATTATATGACCAGCCTGATGGATGAAGGGAGAGCAGTGGATATTGTGTTCCTGCACTTCAATAAAGCCTCTGCCTTTAATAATGTCCTTTGTAAGATCTTCACAGGTGAGCTACTTAAGCATGGGCTGGAGGAGCAGACAGTGAGGATGGCTGAAAACTGACTAAATGGCTGGGCCTGAAGGGTAGTTGTTCAGTGGTCTATCTAGGTGGAGGCCAGTAACCCCAGGATTCAGTACTGGGTCCAGCTCTGTATCACATCTTCATTAATGACCTGAACAATGGGATAGAGCTCACTCTTTGTAAATTCATAAATATCACAAAACTGGGGAAGTGGCTGACTTGCCAGAGGGTCGTGCAGCCATCCAGAGGGATCTGAACAGCCTGCAGAGCTCAGCTGAGTCTAATGAAGTGAGGAGGAACAGTCTAACATATCAGTATGAGCTGGGGGCTCTTCATCTGGAAAGCAGCTTTGCAGAAAAAGACCTAAGTGTTCCAGTGGACTAAAAACAAGAGTCAGCAATATGCCCTTTCTTATCAGAAGGCTAAATGTATTCTTGGTTGGTGTTAGGCACAGAATCACCAGGTCAAGAGAGGTGATCCTCTCTGTCCTCCTGTAATCACTGCTGGTGAGGCTGTACCTGGAGTCCTGTGTTCAGTACAGCGTCCCCAGTACTCAGAGACATGGAGCTATAAAGTCTAGAGTAGTGCCACTAATAAGACAAGAGGACTGCAACATCTCTCCTGCGAGGAGAGGCTGAGAGAGCTGGGACTGCTCAGCCTGGTGATCAGGAGATTTATGGGTATCACATCAATGTCTATGATAACTCTAGGAGGAATACAAAGAAGATGGAACCAGTCTTTTTTCAGTATCACCCAGTTCCAGGGCAAGAAGCAATTGGCACAAACTAGAACAAAAGAGGCTCCTTCTGAACATCCGCAAACACTTGTGTACTGTGTGGGCAATGGAGCATTGGCACAGGTTTCCCAAAGAGACAGTGGATTCTTATTTTTGGAGATGTTCAATGCCCATGTAGACACAGTCCTGGGCTACCTACTGCATGTCCCTGCTTGAGTTTGGTGTTGGACCATGTGGCTTCCAGAGATCCCTTCCAACCTCAACCATTCTGTGATTCTGTGATGATCCATCTGGTCTAGGACCTCTATTTCAGAGTTGAGAAAGAACACAGATTTTGTAATGTGGCTTTACATAAGACAGCAGTCTTGGGAATACTGGTTTTCTCTGGCTGGAGCTGGTAAGTGGAGCATGGAAATGTGGTGGACTTATTTGCAAGTAATTACCACATAAAGGTATGATGTTCCCTACTAGATCCTTTCTGGTTCAACCTCTTGGGCAAGAAAACTGCTGCTTACAGGAGGTGTCACATTTAACACACATGCAAAATACATGCATGCAGTGTTTATGAAAGCACTGTAAGCCTGTCACTTTCTAACAGTGATTGACTAACTCTGACTATGCTGTGCAGCCAATCTGCACGTGCACATTAGAAATGTCCTAGATTTCCAGATGTGATGCAGTTTTCTAGTGTATAGACATGTAAACATTAATAAGATTTGTCCTGACAGTTCTAAACAATAAAAACAGACATGTATTGAGAAGCCAAGGTACAGCTGTATGAGTGTGGCAAAACGTGCAGGAAGCTGCCTGTACAGTTATCAGTGAAACAGCTAGTGTCCTATAGCTGATTTCTCATCAAACTAAACCCTCAGTGTCACATCTACAATGGAACCCCTTCAGGACTGGTTACTCCACCACTTCCCTGGCCAGCCAGTTCCAACGCCTTTATCATTCTGAGTGTCCTTCTCTGTACCATCTTTAATTCTGTGCTTGAGATATGATAACCAGAGTAGAACATAGTAGTCAGGACATGGCTGCTCTAAAGTTTTATGTACTGGCAAAATGGTGCCCTGTCTGGTTTTCACATCCTTTCTTGATTTAAAAATTGCAGCACAGTTCATTATATTTTTAAGGTTAATAAATGTAATTTATATTTTTTTGTGGTTAGGCTTTAAAAGTTTTATTTCTTTTGTAAATCAAAATGCAAACACATATATTACTATTCAAATGCTTTATTTGTTCTAGAAATATATTTAGGAATTGTCTGGAGTATGATATATTCAGTACAGCCATTCTTCAGGGCAGATAATTTTTAAGGGTTTTTTTTTCATGTAATTATAGATAAAATAATCAATATATTTTAAATTTTCAACCACTGAAGGGAATCTGACATCCTTTGTGTTTAAATCTATTCTCAGAAATAAATTACTGTGAATCTTATATACATTATTTTGATTAAAAAAAAAAAAACAAAACAAACACAATCAAAATAAAGTTATTTTATTGCTTTTGAAAACTTCTCAGCCTCTCTGTAAAAATAAAGTTTCTTAGTTAATTTTGACTCTAAATCTTATTTTCTGCAGGCAAGATCAAAAGATGCTGGATATTTGTATGCAGCAATACATCACCGCCTTGTGGCATTGCGAAGCTGTGCTGAGCAAGAATCAGATGCTAATCAAATAGACACAGAGTCAGAGACAGCTTTTCATCTGTTAAACTGTGACAGTGATGAAGATGATGAAAAAATAACTCAAGTGAGCAGCAGTGGATCCGGTAAGCAGAATTTTTCCCAAGGATGCTGTAATTCTTACAAGGTTTTTTTCCTTCTAAGTAATAAAATTGTACTTTTTTTCATGTTGACTGTAACTTTAATCAAAATTTATGTTATAGATACTCTTTGCTAAGTAGGTGAGAGTAACTCCTTGCAGCTGACTGCTATTACGATGCTAGATTTTACTAGATAAGTGGTAGATAGAATAGTTTGGTTAGAATGGATCTACAAAGATCACCAAGCCCAGTTGTGCGACCTCTTCGGGGCTAGTTAAAGCACATAACTGAGGGCATTATCTAAACAATTCTTAGACACTGACAGGCGTGGGGATTGCTAGGAAGTCTGTTCTTCAGGAAGCCATTTTTCTTCATGTCCAATGCCCTGGTGCAGTGTTGTGCCATTCCCATCCTGTCATCAGTTTCCAGGAGCAGAGCCCAGCATCTCTCTCTGCTTCCCCTCCTCAGGGAGCTATAGAGAGCAATGAGGTTGCCGCATGACCTCCTCTTCTCCAGATAGGACAATCTCAATGTCCTTAACCACTCCTCGTGGGATTTGTTCTCTACCCTTGTTGACCTTCTCTGGACTCTTTCAAGGACTTTAACATTCCTTTAGTATTGTGGTGCCCAGAACAGCACACAATATTCAAGGTGAGGCTGCTCCAACAAAAGAATAGTTGGAAAATGACAACTTTGTATTGGCTAGCTGTGCTGTGTTCAGAGCACCCCACAGGGCAGTTTGCTCTCTTGGCTGCCCAGTCACACTGCTGGCTCATGCTGAGCTGCTGTCCCCAGAATCTCTAAGTTCCTTCCTGCTGAGCTGCTCTCCAGCCATTTGTCTCCCATCCCTGCCCGTGTCTTGCACTGCTTGTTCCCAAGTGCAGTACCCAGAATTTTCCTGTTAAACTCCATGGTGTCACTGACTGCCCAGTGCTATCTAGATCCTTCCACAAGGCCTCATCCCTCCAGGCAGCCAGCAGCACCTCTCAGTTTTTGTGCATTGACAAATGCGCTGGGGATGCATTCCAGTCTTGCATCATCAGTGTTGAACAGGAGTGGCTCTTGAAATGAGCCCTGGAGAACATCACTAGTGATCAGCGCTAATACCTGTTTGCTTTATAGCAGTGGAATATTTTTTTGAAAAAACTGAGAGTTAAGGAATTTTAATATTGTCAACCTTTATCTGAAATCTTCTTTAGTACATTTCAGTAGATATGACTGGAGGCACTGAGATACTTCTTACATGAATGAGTAGAAGTTGAGTCCATATGCATCATCAAGTAGCTAGTTATTAATGCCTTCAAGCACTGCGTGTTTATTGAAACAATATTTACTTTGTTCTAGTTAACTTTGTTTAAAGCACTGATTTTTGATTGGTTCTAATAACTACTTCTCTAAGAGACTCATGGTTCAAGATTTACATGCCAGCCATGCCAGCTGTTTTGGCAGGTTTTTTTTTAACATAATAAGAATGTAGGCTCTTCAAAGTAAGGAATGTAGCTAAAACAGGACGTAAGGGACAAACTGACTTAATGCTGCTCTAGAAAATGAAAGGCCTAAAAGCTCTTCTGTCTTGGCAGAAACACAAGACACATTTCTGGAGGAAATTTACTCACTTGTGCCAAATTGCCACTATGAATACAGAAGCTACCAATTGAACTCTCTTTCCCGTAGGACTAAAGCAGGAAGGTCTGAGTTGTTGCTCCTAGAATTTGCTTCCCTCTTTAAGTAACATACTGTCCTTATACTCACTTCTTTTTAACAAGTATTCAACAGAAATAAGTCATGTACAACCAACAGCTATGAGTAACTGTTTGCTTAAGGAAAACACGCAAGCCTTTTTTCCCCGTTTGACAGATCACAGCTTATAGTCTTGTTCCCATGATCAGTTGTTATTGAAATACACTTCAGTAGCATTCAGTGCCCTAAACAATGTATGATGCTCTCACACAAAATTTTCTCACAAATACCTTCATTCTGTTTAGGAAATGGAATTTTTTTTCCTTTGAGAACTGCCTGTACTGCTTCCAGCTAATCAAACATTCCCTCATTAATAATCTCTGTTGACTTTACAAAGATTCAGGTAACTTGAAAACTGTGGATGGAGTTTGATTCCTTTCCAAGGATTACTGTGATAAGAACTCTTTGTTGTTTTAGGGGAAAAAAAAAAAAAGAAGAAGAAGAAAGAAAAGAAAGAGGTGAAAGGGAATATAAAAGCAGTTTGGGAGCACAGATTTACTAGTTAAATATTTACTTTGATTTGCAGAGATTTGTGATACAAATATTCGAATGGCATCCAGCAAACAGATTCTGAAATACGACTGTCAGGTGTTCGTGAGTGTCAAGCCCTTTAGTTTAAGCTTCTGTCTTTTATTTGTGTTCAAACAATTCCTGTCAGCAGTTTTAGCAATCCCTTTCAAATGCTTTTTGGATGACTTCTATCATTCCCTGCTTATCTCTTCTATTATTCTCAGAGCCACAAGGTTTTAATTTTGCATAAATTTCAGTCAGTGGTATCCAAGCCCCACTTTCTGTGCAGACATTCACATCTTACATGTGTCTGTCCCTAGAACTTCCATTTCCAAAACAGGAGATTGTAGTCATAGCTTTTTAAATAAGGTGAGGTCAGTTTTAAATTCTAAAGTAAAAATGTGTATTTGGATGCAAGAAATCAGATCCTGCATATTTAAGAACGTTTGATAAAGAGCCTACATTTTCATTTTCATTTAAGTATGAATGATGTTTCATTCATTTCCAGGGATTGTCTCTCCTTTAGAATTGCAGAATCGCTAAGGTTGGAAAGAATCTCTAAGATCACCCAGTCCAACCATCCACCTACTTCCAATATTGCCCACCAAATCCTGTCCTTAGGTATCAGATCTGCCATTTCCTTAAGTGCCTCCAGGGACGGTAACTCCACCACTTCTCTGGGCAGCTTGTTCCAATGCATGAACAGTTCTTCTGAGAAACATTTTTAATATCCAATCTTTAGTTTAGGCTACTATGAGACGCATAGCTTCTCAGTGACTGCTTCATTACAGGAGGTCAGATTAAAAAATATGCTTAGATTTTATTTTTATTTTATTTAATTATGTTCTACCTGCTTTGTCTCAAAAAAAAAGCAATGACAGTTCTCTCTTTTCTTAATACAGGCATCTCTATGTTAAGCTGAAGTTACATTGTTCCCTAGATTATAATATATATTCCATGACAGTGTAAAAGACATGGAAAAAAATAATCAAAGTTATTTTTGATGTAAAAGATTGAATAAAAGCAAGTAGAATTTATATTAGTGAAGTGTTCGTGAACAGCAAGGTGATGCTATATGCTTGCAATAAATTTTCCTTAATGCAGTTCTTCACTGTACTGTCCTCAGAACCTTAACCCTTTATAAGGACTCTGTAAAAGGTAGGAGAGGTATTCCTATTACTCAGTGTAGACAATTGTTTTGAATTGTGTCACTTTCAAGTAAAGATATTGTTTTCATAAGATCCGTAAATAGTAAGCTGATTTTTCTGATATTTTTATTACCTTATATTTCACTAATTACAACTCAGATACTTTCAGCAACAAAATGATGTTTAAATTTGAATGGAGAGAAACAGAACAATTCATCCAACTTCAATCAATTTTTGAGAGTGGTTGGCATTAATCACTCTCTTAGAAGTGTTTATTTTTCCCACTAACTACAAAGTGAGCTGAGGAGATGAATTTAGAATAGATGGCAAACTTCTAGACTGACAAAAGTTAGGCAAATTTCTCCTTCCCTTTATATAACTTGCCTGCTCAATATTTCACTACATTTGCCTCAAATTGTCTTTGTAATATCTAGCTGAGATCAGCAGAATTCTTTATGGTAATGGGAAAAATGTTCTCACTAAATGATTTAACAAATAAAATGATGAGAAAAGCTGGTAGGATAATATGCAAATAATTAGAATTAGAGTGTTCCTTTCTGAGGGGAATACCACTGCTATCAATTGTATGACTCTCCTTTCTTGTTTTCCTTCTCTTGGCATTTGTAAACTTCATATTCTCTGCTGTATGATGTATCTGCTTCTACAGACAGAATGGAGAATGTTCCTTACCCAAGTGTAGAGAATAGCTGGGTAAGGGAGATTGGTCACTGTAGGCAAGAAGGTGGACCCAAACCCTGTGGATAAGGAGGAACTAGTACCCAATATGTGTGCTGCAATGAGTAAAGTAATGTGCAAACCATTGCCATTTCCTCCTCTGCCTTGGCTTATAGATCTCAAACATCTGCTTGTGATTTTCCTATATGCTGGCAGACCTATGTCAGGTATCTGTGCAGATTCAGTCTGTGCAGATTGTGAACAGCTGTTTTTTAAGTCCTTTGACTACAGGCTGTCACAATTTCAGCACTTGGGAGTAATGAATTCCTCTACTAATACACAGAAGTTCCACATATAGTTTTGGAATAGGTGGTTCTGTAATTTAGGCTCTGAATCTTTTGCAAGATGCTTTCATCTTTCCACTCGTCACAAACAAAAGAGGTATCTATGTCAGGCTCACAAAGTCAACCAGCAAGAATATGGATCTGTTATTTAGAACCACAATACCTAAGCTTACCATTAGCAACACATGATCAGAAGTCATTACTTAGGCTCCTAAATAAATAAGATGTTCCTGAGAATATTTTTGCTTCTGATCATTTTAAGAGGTTTTACGGCCTTTAAGGAGATTTCTGTCCTTTCTTCAAAGAAATAATGTTTTGTTTACATCTGTAAATATCAGAAATACTAGAAGGTCTGTAAAATAAGAAACTTCCATATTTCCTTGTGGAAAAAAAAAAAAAAAAAAAGTTTTATACCTCTCAAATAATGGCAGTTTTTTCTAAATCCAAAATGCTATTATAACACTTCAGGACTGTGAGGGACAAAGGTGACAGTTATCAGTAGGCAAATGAATGCTTTATGAGTTATGTCTCACCATTAACTCTTTCACGTTTGCTTCAAAGTTCATTCTGATTGAGTGATCCTCTAGTTTTATTGAAGTGCATTCTCTTATCTGGTATGGAATTTTCTTTTAGAAGTTATTAGAGTGAATTCAAAGTTGTCGATGTCCAGGACTATGTAGGTCCCAAGAATTCTACCCATACATAACCATAAGCCTTAAGAGAAAACTAAATTGGAGACATAATGTGTCCTGTGTGGATCCACCGAGAATCCATCACAGATTTTGGAGACTAGTGATGCTGAGAGCAGAACAGTATCATGTTATGGAAATGCTTTAGGTTTTGTTTTATCACAGAGAAATTTTCTAGTCCACTGTACACATATCTCCTGTATTGGCCTCATTAGGACTCTGTCATTTCCTGTTGTTTATCAAGACATAAGATCTCTGTTATGAGAGTGTTGTTGCTGTTGCAGTTGCTTTTTAAAGTAAATTTCTTAAAAAAGCTTTTTAAAGAAACTAATATTGAGCAACACTGTAGGAACTCCTGCTATCTTTGTTTGACATTTCTTGTCAATTCAAATTCTTATCCAGTGTTAAAGATTCAAGCACAATCACACACACAATTTGGGGGGGGGGGGGGGGGGGTGGAAGTTCAAGTTTCTTTATTCTTTGCAATGAAAGTCAGTAATGCCTCAAAGAAAAATTAAAAAAGAGAGAGAGAGATAGACATCTGTCTGATTGGCTTTAAAAGCTGATGTATCACGAAAAGTTTTGGAGGGATGAGAGGGGACGGAAGAGGAAGATTCAGATTTCATATTCTGACAAATACAAGGCTTTTTCAGTTCACCTGTAAAAGGTTTAAAAATTTTAGTAACTCTTTAGAGGTGGCCAGGTGATAGCAGAAATTTTTCAGCAGATCCTGAGGGAATGATGTTACCCATCAACTATATACACTTTTGCAGGTTTTGCATTCTAGATTACTCACCAGAACCACCCTTGGATATTTTATCATGACCATAAAGTTACTTGAAGATATGTTGTATTTCTCGCAGTTTACTGACATCTACTGTTAAGTACTAACATCAAATTACTTAAGTCAGTAGAAGACAAGTTGTTTTGCATCCCAGAAACAGTGTCCTGTCTGGACACCTTATATCCTTAAGTGCTCATGTGCTCATCTTTATTGACATGGGGAGTCACAGGCTTCATTCACTATTCACATGCTCAAATATTTGTGAATAATCCTGTGTTATCTGGTTAGATATTTATCTAAACCAGGAACTGATTGTATCCAAACTTTAACCCACTGCTTTGGTATTATGAAATGCCAGTTTGCTTCAAAATGTGAATACATTCAAATTTAAAGAAATGTTTTTTTTTAAAATCTGTTTCAGATCATTCTAGATGGAACCGCAGGCAGCCTGTAGTCTGCTCATGAAATGTACCACAGTTTACAGCAGACTACTGAGGACTCAACTTCTCAACATGCTGGAGATGCATCAGGACCTGGAAGAAGGAAATCAGAAGAATTTTGTTTTATGACTTCTAAGCAAAGATTAATTTTATAAACAGTTTATGTTCAATACATTGGGAAGGAACTTGAGACGCAAGTTGAGGGTTCCAGTCAGCTTGCTTTGCACTGAGATAACATGATGGCTTCCAGTGTTCAAGAACTGTTAAAAGAGATTCAGATTTTAAAATTAAATATACTTAGATGCATTATTAAAGTAAGGACTTTTATAGGGAATCCTGTTTGTAAGTACATGCAAGCAGAATGGTCAGTGGCAGTTCAACATGACAAAGGCCTACAGAAATCGAATTTTGTTGTTGTTTTTTGTTTCTAATATGTGGAGTAGTCACCAGAAAGTTTTGTTAAAGGGCAAAGAACTAGGTTCTGCTCTTACATCCATACAACTACATCATGAAGAACTGTAAGCAGAAGTTCCAAGGGATGTCTGAGCATTGCAATCTAAAAGTGAATCTGTTTGCACTTACAAACATTTTCTTGCTTGCACAGAACAAGCACTTGCACTCTTAACTGCCTGTTAGATACATAAAAATAAATAGACATAGACATTATAAGTAGAGATCTGCATATAATCTATCTTACATTTTTGAGATTGTCTAAGATTGTTTCTGCTTTCCTACTAGCCACAGTTATCCCTAAACAGCATGAGATTAATACATTAGTCAAATATGTGCAATAATCCAAACGGCACTAACAACTCAAACACTCCTTGTAGAGGTGATTCCACAACTAGCTCACTACCTAGCCAATCTCATGGTAAACTGGAAGGTCAGTTCTCCAAATGCCACCTGTGAATTAAGACTTTCCAGACCCTTCACAAGCCCATGCACTGCACAGGCACCATTTAATGCTCTGTGCTTTCTATTCTTTCTGTTAACAGGTACAGAAAGTGTATGTCTGTGGTCACTCTGCTACAGACTTCTTTTGCCTTGTATATTGTTGGCTACAAAACATTAATTCCTGATCATTCTCAGAGGTGGAAAAAAAAAGAAAAAAAAAAGGTCTGAAGTATCTTAAGTCCTTTTAATTAAGAAAGTTGTTAATGTTTATCAGCCTTAAAAGCTGCATCATACCTGAAGAGTCAAGTTACAATTTAGTCTCCCATCTGAACATATGTATGAAGTTGGAAGAATTCCAGCTTCTTTCTAAATTCTCAAGATTAGAGCCCAGGTGAAGCTGAACTGGCATCTGGATTACTTGAATCTTACACAGCCTGCCAAAATTAGCACTTCTCTGACTTCTGGATGAGAGCAAGTTTAAATGGAACTGGATTTTTGCCTTTGCAATGGAGCATCTGTTTCTAGAAGAACTGGAATGGTTTTTCACCCTTCAGTTTGCTGATAACGAAAATTTCTTTCTAGAACAGCTGTACACTGCGTCCTTCTGTGACAGCCTTGCTCCTGAGCACTACGGCATTTCCACTACTGACCTTCATATTTCATTGCTGTAACTCAGGAACAAAGCTCCATGTTACAAAAACTTCTCCAGTTGTTAAAAAACAGCAATCTTATGTATTTAGCAACAGGTCATGGGGAGAACTTTGCCCTGAAGCTCAACTGGTTGTGCACTGAATGTAGAGTTTGATTTCAAAGTCTGCCCCGGTAATCAAAGCCATCCATACAACTGATTTTAAGCATCAGAGTGTCATCATAAAGTCCCACAACTTCTAAATTCTACCGCAGTATATGCACCAGAATTTTTACAGAGGACTTCAAAACTTTGTAATGTACTGCCATAGTGAAAGTTGCAAAGCTTATGATCGTTCACAAATAATAAAAAAAACCTCTCTGAGCTGCCTTTTCCCAAGACTGTATTATACATTCACACACCAGTATACACACATTTGCTCAAACACACACACACTTAAAAATGAAGCTACACTTCCTACAAGCTGTGGAGGTAAAGAGATGTTTGAATACTCTGAGGAATGTGGAGAGCGTGGTAGTAGAAGACAAATAAATACATATATGTGCAGACATGTATGAGGTAAGAAGTTTCACTCTTGTGATCCTAATCCATTATTTATTTTATTTAGTCTCATTGCACTAAATTTTTGTGTTTCTTAAGACTAAAGGTATGCTGGTATGTAATGTATTAACTTGGTTTTGAAAATGTAACATTTGTCATTTTATGACAGCAGGAGTAACCGTTTCTATGTCCAAACAATAAACAGATTTTCTTAAGCTTTTATTTCTATCCATTTGTCTTACTGCGTGTGAAAGTTAGTGCTTCCTACAAACTGTTCCTTCCATAGCACTTCCAGCCTGTTTTCCTAAGAAAAAAAAAAGATTCAAATAATCATGTACCTCATCCATCTCTCTGTCAGAACCACTTCGAGCCAAATGTTGAATTTGGAAGAATTGGTTGAGAGGTGTGATATCTGTTTTTCATGAAAATTCGCGTTTGTTGGGTGACAAAAATCAGATACAGGTATGCTTTGAAGAAACTGCTTCTCAATAAGTTTGTTATATTCTGTGGTCCTGGATGTTGCATTCCTGGCTCTGAAGAGGGAGGGAAGAGAGTAAAACCATGGAAGGGTGGAATGTGGTTCCTTGTGGTTCCCTATGCCTTGGTAAGTGGCATAGGGCCCTTTCACGTGGCACAAATCTCCATGAAGTTAGAGATCACAAATTTTGCTGTTCATGGAGCAACTTCTGTGCTTTTTCAGATGAAAAGTATTCTAAATTCATTTATTTAAAGAACATACATTCTAGATGCAAAATTTCTGACAAATCTCAGTGATTAATTTGTATATATAGAGGATGCAGAGCTTGAAATTCTTAGGAATTAGTAGAGGAATAATTATCACAAGGAGGGAAAATTAAAAATTCCTAATAAAAGGATACGGATGCAGATACCTGCCATTAAGATTATGACTTGTTGGAAAAATTTACTTGGACAGGATAGCGTTAATGACTTATTCCACACTCTTAAAAAAAAAAAAAAAAAAAAAGGAAAAAAAAATCCGTAATGTCAAATCTCCTTGCATTTTATCTTTTCCTTAATTTCAGCACCCTTTTTTTTCTTTAATGTCATCATCTTTAGTTACCTCTTAATTACTGCTGACAAACTAAGAGTCTAGTAATGTTTCTATTGGATGACTAAATGTATGAATGATTTAATGAATGAATGAATACAGGGAAAACCTTTAGCACATCTGATACTGCTTTTAATGTTACCGAGTCTGCACAAAAGAGACAAGGAGGGAGGAGCGTCCTCTTTTTTTCTCTACATGGATTTTATAAGACTTAATACTAGAGACTGCTTCCATGGGCTGGTTGCTCCCCACCAGCTCAGGCTGCCTAGGGCCCATCCAACTGGCCTTGAACACCTCCAGACATCGAGCACCCATAGCACTTTGGGCAGCACTGCCCTCCGAATGAAGAATTTCCTTCTAACATCTAACCTAAACTTCCCCCTTGTCCTGTCACTAGCTACCCATGTAGAAGGTCAGTCTCTCCTTTTTAAAAACAGTATTTATTGAATGTTCTGCAAGTAGGCCTATTTACAAAGTAATGTTGCACAAAGCAGTGTATGTGCTGTGGGAAGTTTAAACTTTTTTTCTATGGTTCTGCCTGAGACTTCCTCTTGGGAGTCACGGATGAATCACTTCATTTTCTGTGCCTCAGCTCTTCTTCCAGGAGGTTTAGATCTTAAGACATTTTGAATTTACAATTTAAAACACATGTTCTGATAATGTATGCACCTATGATATTTGCTGTAGGCCTCAATCCAAAAGACCTTATCATGATAGCGGTACGGCCACAGACTAAAATAGTGCTCTGCATTCAAGCCTGACATAGCGACTGAAGCTGATTTGTACACAATGATCAAAGCAGTTCAATATAAATAGGTACTGTGAGAAGCACAGAATCCTGGAAGAGTAGTTAAATGAGCTATAAGATAGGTATCTTGCAGGACTGAGCTACAACATTTCAAAATCTCGTATTGCCACATGTTCTACCACTTTGTATGATCCAAAAATTAATGGTTATACAGAATGAGGCATTTTCTGGAGATTAGTTATGTTTAATTACTCTCCTGATAAGCTGGTTTGTGGTAGTGTCTTTCAAGGCTAAGCTAATCAGTAGACAGAAAATGCTTCTGCCTGTCAGTACAGACCAGATTTTGTACTGCTGCAGGATAGCGGGGAGCAGCCGAATGCCTTCAGCCATCTCATTTCCTAAGGCTCCCAGTTAAAAGTCCCTTAGAAGAGTGCTGCATTCACAGGTAAACAGCTGCTGCTGCTTCCCTAGGGCAAGCACAGGCACAGGACAAGAAGTTGGGTAAGCGCGTAAGCAAAGCATTTGGTGTAGATGTACTGCGAGTGCGAAACAGAATTCTTGATAGGACAGATATTCATAATGGTAGGGAAAAAAAGAAAAAAAAAAAGCAAACCCAAACGCCAGCACTTCCAGGTGGCTCTCAATATGAGAAACCAGCTGCGCATCGATGACGTTCCTGCTGGGCTCGCAAAGCACGCTCACCCGCGTCACGAATAAAAGGCGCGGCTTCTCCAACAACTCGTTTCTCACCCGATCCTCACAGGACGCCGTGTTAAGCACTCCTCAACAAAGGGCTTATACTGGTTTTTCCAACTTTCCAAGTCCTCCCCTCCTGACTGTCAGGAGCCACGAAGTCAGCCTCACTCGCCAAGGTCAGCCCCGGGACGCCCAAATCCTGGCTAAGCACCGAGCGCGCACGACCTAAAAGAGGACGCTAACAGCTTTATTTTACTTTATTTTACTTAATTTTGTTCTGCGAGCACAAAAAAAGGGGCTGCGTAGAAGGCCGCGCGGGGTGCAGCAGGGGCAGCCACGCGGATCGGCTCACCCCGCGCTCCCGCGCGCATCCCGCACCGCAGCCGACGTGCCCCGAGCTGCGTCCCGCCCACCAAAGACAGGGACGCGGGAGACGCAGCCGTCCGCCCAGCGCATGCGCAGCCCGCGCCCCAAGGCTCGGACGGGAAACCACTCGCCCCACGCTCGCCCCCACCCCTCCTTTGATCAGCAAGAGCGCACGCGCGCCGTGCGGGGGACCCAGCCCAGGAGCAGCGCCCCGCCCCGCCCCGCGTTTCCTGATTGGCGGAGGTTGTGGCTGCGCGCGCGCGGCGGACGGGGGGCGTGGCGGGGCGGACGCGCCATGTGTGCCGCTCTCTGCACGGGCGCGGGGGCCGCCTTAGAGCCGGGGTGGGAGCCGCCGGGCAGCACTGCGCCCTCGCGCCTCCGGTGTTGAGAAGAAGCGGGGCGAGGTCGGACCATGTCCGTCCCGCGGCGCTACCTTTGCCTCGCCGGCCGGGCGGCGGGAGTCACCTCCGCCCCGATAGGGCTGCCGCTGCTCGGGGGAGCCCGTCGGCGTCTCCTCGCCTCCCCCGGGCCGAGCGCGGCCGGGACCGGGCCATGGTGGCCGCGGCGACGAAACTGCGGGGGTCCGGGGGCAGCGGGTGGCGGATTCCGGCCGGAGCGCGTGGCGGTGGTGGTGAAGACGACGCGCTACGAGTTCGAGCAGCAGCGGTACCGCTACGCGGGGCTGTGCGAGGAGGACCTGAAGCAGCTGGTGAGCGGGGCCGGGAGCCGCCGTCGGGCCGGGAGAGCGGCGCGGCCTCGGGCCGGGGCTGTTATCGGGGGCCGGGGGTGCCCGGGTTTGTGCCGGGCTGTTCGAGATCAGAGAACCCCGCTCTTGTTTTCCCTTGCGGCGCGCAGCGAGAAGGCTGCATGTGCGGAGGTGCAGGCGGAGGGAAGCGCTGCGTTGCGAAAATCCCTCCGACACCTGGAGAGGACTTGGTCGCGTTCCCTCCCACTCTTTTAGCTCTGCTTTGCTTCCTCGATTTGTCTTTCGTTACCTAAGAACTCCAGCCAAACAGTCGGATCTCCCGTGCGCACCTGTCTGTCCTGCTGCTGCTGCTTTTGGAGATGCCTTTTTCTTCGTTCTTCATGGGATCGGTGCAAAGGCAGGTGGTTGGTGGGGAAGGCACGCCAAGGGCAGCACCTTCCTGCTGTGTCCATCGTCGCTCCAAACCGTTGCTTTGGACTTGCAGTCTTGGCTGGGCTGAAACTTGCAGAGGGGTTTCATTTTTGTAGGAGGGACAGGTGATGTGTTTGTGTTGCCTTCAGAAGTACAGTATCGGAAGAAAGAGAGCTCTTGCCATTTTTCAACGTTTTCCTTTTTAACCATTTTTCTGGGTATTCAGGCAGCTGTCCACCTCCTGTGGAATTCTGGTCTGTGCATACTGCGTGTTGCGTAAATCTCTTTACGTGATCAAACTTCACGTGGTGCCACAAGGAACCACCTGCCCGCATTCATACTGTCACTGCATGCAGGTCAGTGCTGCTGAGTGTCTCCCTGTTCCACCAGAGCTGCAGAGAAGCGGCATCTCACCCAGCTCACATCAAGACTGCTCCTCTGTTGGCGTGCAGTTAAGCTTCTCTCAAGGGAACTTTTATTGCTGAGAAGTATAGAGAATCAGCTTAGTTCCTCAGCGTGCAGCTGAACCCAGGAGGAACAAAACTGCTTGTTTCACCTTTCCCTAACTGCTTTTGTGCAGGTAAGACCAAGACCTGGGGATCAATAGCCTGTGTCAGCTGAAGATCTCTTAAAGAAAAGTAACCCCAAATGCACAGTGCTTTATTGCAGTAGTTGCACAAAAATCTTCAGTGTACTTTTGGAGAAAATCTCAGGAATACTAATTCTCCAGACTGTGAACAGTGCCTTTTTACATCTGGCTTCCCCCTTAGAATACCTCCACGTGAGGAATTGCAGCAACAGAACTCATTATCTCTATGTAGCCAAAGTCTAACTTGCCCAAATACGTGTCCGTCAGTATTTATTTAGGCTTTCTGCAAAAATGCCTCTATTTACTGTCTGCTGGGAATCAGGTCTCGTATTCTTTTCCTTGATTTCTGGACTAGCAGTAGACTCAGCAAATGCATTAGATGAGGATTCAGGAGAGTCTTAGCAGCTCTCCTGTGAATCTGCAAAATGTTTTTCCTGCTATGGATAGTCTTGGAACTTGGTGCTTTTTTGTTCTGAATTAGTCATGCTGCTTCCTGCATCTCCTTCTGGTGTAGGCTGCAGGAGCTGGTCCCCGGGCTGCTGGTCTCTGAGAAGCAGAAGCCAGACCCGTGGACAGGGTGTCCCACTGGGGGTATGCAGGT